AAAAAATGTCAGCATCTCCAAAATGCCAAAACTTGGCGCGCGCTACTACGTGTCCGTATTCAGTGTCACCTCCAAGTTGTATTTGCTAGTCCGTTTGAGGGTCAAACCCCATGATGGACAGTTTTTCAAGCAGTGCTAAGCTCTCACCAACTCCTTGAAGTGATCGGCTGAACTATCGATCGGTAGCAATCATTGGCCACAAACTGTGTCTCGGAGTTGCTCCGGTGAACAGAGAGGGGCATTAATAATTCATGCGAGGAGTACGCGGTGTACAGGTATCATCACCCGAAGGGGAGGAGGAAGTAGCTGCAGTTTTATGCGGTTGTCAACAATATGGAAATCACTCTGCGTGCGCCCACGGTCAGCAGTATTCGTTTTCGGAGTTGGTTGTCAATACACAGGCATACAGTTGCAGAGCGACTGTGTTCACAATGGACTGTAACACGGACAAATTAAGCCAAATGGGCATATCGGAAGAGGAGAAAAGAGGAGGTATGACCATACGAGAGACGACCCAACCAGTATGCAGTTCGGTTACACAACAGTGATTTGGATACAAAATGCTGTGAATTCAGCTACCATATCTGGCGTCGCGATGAAAAATCAATCAAAGTAGTGAGGAAAAAGAGCTGCGGCGTAAGTAGAAGATGGAAAAGGGGATTAGGAAAGCGGATAAACTTAATCGGGATGGGTCATTGTCGGCTAGTTGCGCGGAACCGAATTCAGAAGCGCTACTGATTCCGCCCATCCACGATAGTGGCACGCGTTAGACTAACCATGTCTCTTGATCATTGTGTTCACGCCTTCGTGGTACGTCACCGAATGGTAACCTCGCAGTTTCGCCTGATTTCCTATGGCCACAGCATATAGTATCCTTTGCATACGTAAGACATGACCCGGTTAACGTAAACGGTTCAAGAGTAAAGGGCAATCTAGTGAGGCATCAGAGGGTTCTTTGGAAAACACCAACCGATGGACCTCAGTGTTGCTCAGGCGGTGTTGCAGCCAGATGTCAGCAATATCCCGAAAGCACCGGTGCGCAAAGACGATCTGTATGTTAATGTCTTAAGTGCTAAGTGACCAGGTCTCTGAGCCATAGAGTAACACCGGTCTCAGCGCAGCGTTACATACCGTAAAATAACTGAACTGGCGATCACCATGGCACGCACTGCCTGTCCACGTAGAGCCAAGCCCCAAGCATCGCAGCTGAAGGTTTATTGCGGAAGCGGTTTTAAGAATGCACGAACTGGAATAGAAAGCGTTAACTGTTGTAAAATGTCCATTCTAAGTACTGGCTCCGATTCCGTTTGGTTCCGCAATAAGAGTATGGCTATTCTAATCAGCAGATGTAAAGTGACTCTGATGCAGAAGTGCGCCAGGCTGGCAGGGATTGTAGACCGAGCAACTGCCGAAAGACCAGTCGCGTTGAACCTAAAGGGATCAGGGCTTCGAGATGGATGTACAGCATCAAAGTCTAACTCGGAACCGAGAAGCAAAGACGGGAGTGAGAAAAATGCCCGAGACTTAGGTACTACAATCACGCTGACTTCTGCCACGGTACGGTGGGCCGCTTCTAATGATTCACTCGGACAGAACAGTTCATCAAAGCTTCGCGGCACATTCAACACTGTTGAGGGAGCAAAAACATACGCCTCCATTGTTACCAACCACATGACAGAGGCACCGTCCACCATAGCTTCGACCGCTGTCAAACTAGGAGCAGTTATGGCCACCAATACAACCAATGGACCTAGTATTCCACCAGTTGTTTGACTTAAGAAAACAACTACACACTCCCACAAAATGGAGAAGATTAGAGAGCATCATAATTCTTATACTGTCATATGCTCGAATGTGTCTGAACCCCAGATAAACCCCACCAATGGAAAGCTGCTAAACGACTAGAGACAATGGGATGCCATGTGTCAATTAATTGGAGTCCAAGCAAAGTCGTCCAGTATGATGCGCCACGTCCGTCATCCAACCTCGGCAGGCTGCGGTGAACAACGAATAATCCAAGTACCGCTTCAGTCAGATGATGCACAGTCCGTTCACTTATCAGCCACTCGCTTCCGAACAACAATGCACTGTTCGCATTTATCCTGATGTTCCATGGAGCGAATGCCAGAAACGCAAATTAATCGTGGATGACTACCGCTACCAAAAAGACGTAAACTCGCTCCTTGTCCCAGCGAGCTAGAAGCTCAAGCACATGACTGGGATGATTAGCAGCTCTTCATCCGTGAAGTACTCGAACTCGAAAATGTGATTCCCATTTCAAACACCAGGTTACAACTATCGCCTAACTACAGAAGTCGCGGTCCACGAGTGATAAAAGAGACATTGTAAACCAAACCATGGAGGAAAAGGGATAGAAACGTGCTAAGCTGTGCAAGAAGTTGCCATGCGAAATGCTTTAAAGTCGAAAGACACCCGGTCACAAATCGGTGACATAATGCTGAATCTGCAGTCCCTGTATGATACCTCGCCCGAGTGTCGCTCATAACAGGGATAAAGTCAAAACTCTCCGTCAGCTGAAGGAAAGTTAGTTATGCAGCCACCTGCCAACGCTAAGATCTCTACATCACAAACCTGGAATTGCTCCGAGGTCAGCGATTAGGGTACAACAAAAAACGATCGACGGCCGGCCGGCCCCAATAGGTAGGCAAAAACTCCAACGCAGAAGCCACATCCACAAATACCCTGCTAAACTCTGAGGCCCTCAGTTGCTTCCTCAGTAAGTTAACCGTGCTTCGTACTCGCCAGGCTTCCACTTCTTGAGACAAAGTCATGATAACTGAAACATGGCTAAAAAAATACATCACAGATGCTGAGATAGCCCCGCCTGGCATGACTCTCCTAAGTAACGATCGATCCAGCACAGGATGCGGAGTGCTCTTGTATTACCGAGATGACCTGCATACTGATATCATCGACCATCCGGATATGCAAGCTGTTGATTTTCTCTGGTGCTGCCTGCACCTGAAACGTGGTGCTGTGTGCTTACCTGCAGTAATTTACCGCTCTCCCAAGCCCACTCTGGAAATGGATCACCGCATGGCGTCTGCTATGAAGCGAACCCTGGCGCGGTCACAGAGTCACGTCCTTTTGGTTGGGCGTGGGCTTCAACAGGCACGTAAGCGAAATCCCAGCTTCGCTAAGCGAACAATACAAATTCGATCTGTAAGAAGTAATCGCAGACATACCACTACACAACCTCGTCACCGCTCCCACGAGACTCAGGAATCACAACAAACCATCTATCTTAGGCCTTGTGTTCACTAACGAGGAATTAATGATTGATGCAGTGAATATAAATGCACCGATCGGTCGTAGCGAACACGCGACGCTGCTTTTCCGCTTCATCTGCTACGCGGAATACATCTGTGAAAGCAGCGAGGTAGTTCACGTTGTCACCCGTTAGGATGCACTCTCTGACCTCGTTCAAGAAACCAAGTGGTCCTTCCGAGCTGAGCAGCCTCCCGACGTCGCCTGGAAGTAATTTATCACTTTGTTCACCGGGCAAGTGACAGAATTGTCGGAAACCAAAGTCTTTCGTCTGAAGCAAACGAATTCCTTCCTGAGGAGCCAGACACGAAAATGCATGGCTATAAGAGATTCCGCCTGGCGCACTTATAAAGCCTGTCTGGATGCGCAGGCCTGGGATACTTACATAACTCAGGGAAACCAGTGTCAAATTGGTCCGCGAAGACATACTCAAACGTCAATAGGACTTGGCAAGGAGATTCAGTACCCGGAGAGTGTAGCGCGGAATCCCAGATCTACCCACAGTAGATAATCTGGTGCTCACTACACAAGATGCGGCTAAACCGCTTCGGCAACAGTTCACCCACACTTTCCAAAGTGAAGCATCAACCCTAACCATCCTCTACACAGCTCACTCCATTCCCAGGATGAAGCCACGTAATCTTCACTGCTGGGAGTGTGATGAAAAGC